AATTCTGCAGGGCATAAAACGTCGTTTCCTTCTCTATTTATGATGCTTATTGTTCCACACACACAAAGTTTAGAGGTCAAATCAATATGATTCCAATTTCAAAAAAAGGTTACTAATGTCATATAATATATTCCCAAAATAAATATATGTTCTTATTGCCCAAATATATGTAACCCTTTATGACAGCACCCTTCTGACAATAAGACTATTTTTCCTAATGAGAATTTAATTGCTTTGTGAAAACCATTGCCATAATCCGTTTGTTTGCAAGGACCAAACAAACAAATGTGTAAACATTTACAAATAAAAGTTAAATACTGGTCACAGGTAAAACAAACTGTTTTCCTATTGGCAAAAATCCGCAAGGGTACGAAGTTAGTTAAACAGGGATTAAGAATGAAATTTTATTAGCCACAAAAACAGGGTAAATTAAATAAACAATAATGACAATCCACAATAAACGAAAAAGGGGGCCACAACGGATTAACAATGAATGATGCTTAGCACCCAGTCTGTGACCTTCACACCCACACGCAAACAGGTAATCTGCAGAGGCGACAGGTCAACAGTTCAACTATATAAACCCAAGGACTTGAACGACCTCAGCATCATTCTCATTTGAGACAGCAAACCAACAACAAGACAACATTTTCTGCAACATCTTCATTTCTTGAAGAGCCCAACAAAGAAACAAATGAACATGGAACGCAACTCAATGACTCACTCACTCACCTATGCTCTCTTCAAATATCGTCAACAGCTGCGACAGGCTTCCACAAAACACACCGCCATGCGTCTGAATTGTGCCAAACTAACGCTAACCGATGAGTTGATTAGGGAAACTGTTCGCCATGCTGATAGCTGTACACTTGAAGAAATGCTAGCTGTCAACAGGGAAATTCAATTTGTCAACAAGTTGAGGCAGCAAATCAAGCAACTGCATCGCTCAAAGAAAGCCCAGAAAAAGACACAACAACAAGTGCAACTACTCAAATCATTGCCCAAGAATCGTACAGCATCGCTAACGGTGAAAATATGGAATACGCTAATGTTGTGTCTGAAGAAGACCGGCTTCTTATGAGGCGCAGCAAAAGAGACAGACCTTCAAGCCACCAACAAAACAAAAAATGGTATGATCAAACTTGGCATGATGATAGAAAATGTATTGGCATTTTATTATCTTTCTTTCTTCTGGATTTGTTGTATTCAATAAATTGTGAATTTTAATATTTATATTGAAAAAAAATGGAAGTTGTCAGCTAGAATCATGGAATTGATAAGTTAGGAAAGGATTTATGGTTGTATTTGAGTAGATAAGTTATCGGATGAATGAACAGCAGGTGTTCTAATAAAGATGTTTGTGATATGGAGTATCTTAAAATGTTGTTGTTGAAAAATATTGTTTGGTTGTAACGCAAATGGTAAGTTGTTCAAAAACGGAAAATCAGCAGGTCTGACATTTCTGATATATTAAAAACCCTGTACACAAAGAACCAGAAAAATAATGTAATTAAATATATTTATTAACATAGTTAGATTTTTAATAAGACAGACCGAAGGGTGTATCATTAAGACATGACATCTCAAAAATAACCTGCAATAACCGCAAACGAAGATATAACGATGTTTCTTAATGAGCGCACCAAAAAAATAATCAAGGCATATCACAAAAATTTGATCCATGTCGTATTTCTCCCCCTGGATTCTTAGAATACTCCTCAAAGGCTTTCATAAGAAAGTGTACAACCCCCAGACCACGAGCTCGGCTTTGTTGCATAGTACAAAACTCTTCGGGGTGATTATACTCTTCTTAGATATCTGCTTGCTAGAGGACTAACCAGAAACTGTGAAGTTTTAAACATATCTGTAGACGAACTTTAGTGGAAATAAAAAAAATATTTCTCAACGACCAATACCAATTTGAGTTTCAAGAACTACCGCAAACATGAACTGAATCAAGGATTTTGAGCATAAATAGATTTGTTAATGATTTTTTCTTGACGACCATATGGACATTTTTATACCCTTCACCACAGTGTGGTACAGGGTATTATGACTTTGTGCATATGTATGTAACAGGCAAAAATAATCGAGAGAATATGGTTCCTTTTGAGAATATACATAGAATCACTTTCTGAGTCGATTTATGTATGTCCGTCCGTCTGTTGATGTTAAATTGTAAACAAAGTACATGTCGCATTTATGATCCGATTTGGATGAAATTTGGCACAGGTCACTTAATTGGCCCAAGGACAAACTCTATTGAAAATGGGTAAAATCGGTTAAAATTTAGATATAGCTCCCATATATATTTTCGTCCGATTTTATGTAAATGGTGCACCAAAGTCCCTATATATCTTTCGATTTGTACGAAATTTGGCATAGCATTCTGAATTAAGCCCAGAACGACGTGTGAAAAATTTCCTGAAAATCGGTTCAGATTTGGATGTAGCTCCCATATATATTTTCGTCCGATTTAATGTAAATGGTATACCAAAATCCCTATATATCTTTCGATTTGCACGAATTTTGGCTTAGTGTACTGAATTAGGTCTAGCATGATGGCAAGCAAGTTTCCCGAAAATCGGTTAAGATTTAGATATAGTTCCAATATATATTTTCGTCCGATTCAAGGTAAATGGTGTACCAAAGTCCCTATATATCTTTCGATTTCCACGAAATTTGGCACAGCGTAATGAGTTAGGTCTAGAATGATGTGTGTTAAGTTTCCCGAAAATCGGTTCAGATTTAAATATAGCTCCCATATATATTCTCGTCCGATTTAATGTAAATGGTGCCCCAAAGTCCACATATATCTTTCGATTTGCACTAAATTTGACATAGCGTAGTGAATTAAGTCTAGAATGATGTGTGCTAAGTTTTGGTTCCGATTTAGACATAGCTCCAATATATTTTGTTTTCCGATTTTATGTAAGTTATGCACTAAAGACCCACATTTTGTCCGATTGCCACACAATTTTGTACAATGAACTGTAGTTAGTAAAAAAATTATCTCTGGCAAGTCTCATTCAAATCTGTACAGATTTAGATATAGCTTCTACATATATTTTCGTCCGATTTTACACAAAATTTTGACATCGTACTGAAGTTAGTATAAGTTAGAAGTTAGATACTCCCCAGGTGCACAACGTACTGAAGATACTATAACCTACCGTGTGTCAAGTTTTGTTGGAATCGGTTCAGATTTAGATATAGCTACCATATATAGTTTCGTCCGATTTTAAGTAAATAACCAAGCATGTGGGATGTTTTTTTTTTAAATCGGTTCAAATTTGGATAGAGCTACCATATATATTTTCTTCCGATTTTAAATGATGAAGCAACTGTATATCTGACCAAATGAAAAATTTAGTATAGGTTGCAGAATGTCATGTTTATGGATCCAATTTCATTTTAGTGGTCCTTCAAAAATGCGACATCTGTTGGGATTCATCTGTTGAATATATACCCAAAGTGGTGAAGGGAATCATATAGCCGGCCCCGCCCGACTTTACTGATTTCCTTACTGGTTTTAAATTATGTATGTTTAAACAACTATCACAAACACAAATTAAAATTTTTTTAAACCTGACCTAAACGTGAAACTAAAAACAAGGTTTCCTGGACTACCTCAACAGTGTCTGTATTAAACGAATATTTTTTCAAGGTCCAACATGAGCGTAGTTTTTGAAAAGAGCATTTTTCAATGACTAAGATTTAAACCAGAATATTTTTTAAGGATTTTTTAAGAGTCGAATTAAAAAAATAAATTTTCCTAAACAACGAATTGAGAGGATTTTCTTAAAAAATCTTTGAAAAAACCCACTATTTGTCTTTGCAAAAATATTTTATTTCTAAAAATCTATGCTTCTGTTAGTACTTGAATATCCTTTAAAAAATCTACGCTTGTGTTAGTCCTTGAAAAAATGTCCTTTAAAAAATCTACGCTTGTGTTAGTCCTTGAAAAAATATCCTTTAAAAAATCTACGCTTGTGTTAGTCCTTGAAAAAATATCCTTTAAAAAATCTACGCCTTGTAAAGGTCTTGAAAAAAAATTCTTAAAAAAATCCACGCCTTATAAAGGCCTTGAAAAAATATCCTTTAAAAAATCTACGCTTGTGTTAGTCCTTGAAAAAATATCCTTTAAAAAATCTACGCCTGTGTTAGTCCTTGAAAAAATATCCTTTAAAAATCTACGCTTGTGTTAGTCCTTGAAAACATATGCTTTCAAAAATCTACGCTTGTGTTAGTCCTTGAAAAAATGTCCTTTAAAAAATCTACGCTTCTGAAAATTATCCTTTAAAAATCTACGCTTGTGTTAGTTATTGAAAAAATATCTTTTAAAAAATCTACGCTTGTGTTGGTCCTTGAAGAAATATTCTTTCAAAAATCCATGCTGGTTTTAGTCCTTAAAACAATATACCCCATATTGAATTTTCAACCCTCGGTCCATGACCTCGATTCTGTGTCACATTGTTATTGGAAATTGTTGATATCGTTTGTAAATGGTTTTCTTTTGCGTTGTTGCTACCCTGAACTTAAGCAAAGCTTTATTTATTATTAGTTGTGCAGTAATAAAAATACAAATCCTTTTTTTATTTCTTGTACAATTTTTATTTAAAAAGTTCAATTCGTTTGGCTTTCTTATAACTATGCAAACATATATTGAAATAAAATATTTCAAAATATTTTAGTCCATACGATATTTTTTATATCCTTGATGGTTTTTCAATGGTCGCTAAGAATTTTTAGTTCTTAATTTCTCCATTATGAATATTTTTTACATCTCTTATGTTGATCCAACAGGAGTTGTGACATTCCTTTACGATTCCAAGTTGATGAGCTAACACATCGTATTATCTTTTCCGATTAGCGGCGTTCGTTGTGATGACCATCAATTTACAAAATCGATAGTTCCAATTATAGATGGTAAGCATCTTTTAATTCTGTTGTCCATTCAGATCAGATAAATGATTATCTTTTGCGATTGATGTTCGTGCTCACAGTTCAGTACTCGGGGTATTGGGATTAACGTTGCGCATACCCAACTTCTCCAATTGGCGTATGCGTTGCATTTGATATTTCAGCTTCTTCTTGAAGAGCAGTTCTCGGTTGATTACCCGTAAATCTTCGGTGCTGCATTTTTCCAAATTGCGTACACTTTTCGAGATCAATTTGTCGGTTAGGGAGATTTTGGTGCGATTCAATCGTTTGAAACTGGCTTTGGTACGTTTCAATTCCTCACGGTACAGGAACAGAGTATAGCTGATCGATGGTTGTGAATTGGTATTCATTTTGTTAATTTTTTTGTGTCGGTGGGGTTGTGGTTCTGTTGATGTTCTCTTTAGATTGTCTCAAGCGAGAATGTTGTTGATTGTTGAAATTCCCATGGAATATATACCCGTACACTAGGTAGAGTATATTGTACACAAAAACACAGGTAACATAAATGCATTTGTGCGTATGTGCAATTAACAAATGTGTCACAAGTGGGCCACATAACATACACACATATGTAAGTATGTTCATTTAGCTTGTGCCTGCCCCAGCCAACCGTGGATAATACACCACGGCTTAGCATTAACTTAATCCACCAAAATGTTTACACCAAGTCAGAATAGTTAATCTTCTTGTTTTGTATTGCACACCGTTGGCGATTAAGAGTGTGCGTTAGCAAATATTTACATTTGGCTAATAAGCTAGCCACCACATTGTGGTTTTTACCAAAAAAGAGATTATTATTGTTAGCTTCTTAGAAGTGATCTAGAACATAGAATTCATGCAAAGATGAATATGCTGCCTACGAGTATCGACAATGTCCTAAAACGTTGAGGTGAGATGTGCTACTTACATGATATTTTGAAGCATGCATAATATTCCAATGTACATATTATTACTGACCTGAAAGAGAAATGTGTGACAAAAAAATTAGTAAAAGAGAAAATAAATAATTTGTTAGTAAATAGTAAATTTGGAATTATTTTATGGGTTTTGAAAGACGAGCATAAACGTGGATTTTTGAGTCAATTGTATTCTTTTTCAAGAATAATTATGTGCCAACATAAAAATCATGGTCTTATTTTTATGGTTTGAAGCACATGCTTAATTTTTCATAAATTCAACATAAAGCAATGTACCGACCTTTCTTTGAATCGTATAGAAGATAAGCATATCTAAAAAATTAAATGAAACGTAGTCACGACTATTTTTTTATTAAATGGGACCACTAAAGAGGATTTTGTAGCTTTCAGAGACACAAGCATTTATTGAAGAACGCGACAAGTTTCGTTTATGTGAGTGAATTTTTTAAAAACATATAAAAATCTTTAACGGCAAGCGTAATATATGAAAACAGATATTTTCTATAATAAATCCAAGATTAGATACCTTCAAGTAAATTCCATAAAAACACTTGCTTATAGCCCATAAAACAAGTTGAAATCATTTAAGTCCTTGAAATATTCTTCAAAAAAAAAAAAAAAAAAAATCAACGATTGTTTTAATCAAAAATATTCTTTAATCAGTAAGGAAAGTAGTAAAGTCGGACTGGGCCGACTATATGATGCCCTTCACCACTTTGGGTATATTCTACATATGTAAGCTTAGCAACATCATTCTAGATTTTATTCAGTCCCTATATATCATTCGTGCAAATCGAAAGATATATAGGGACTTTGGTGCACCAATTACATAAAATCGGTCGAAAATATATATGGGAGCTACATCTAAATCTGAACTGATTTCGACGAAACATAGCACGGTTTTCACGAAACTGTGCACACATCATTCTAGACTTAATTTAGTACGCTATGCCAAACTTCGTGCAAATCGAAAAATATATACGGACTTTGGTACACCATTTACATTAAATCGGACGAAGATATATATCGGAGCTATATCTATATCTGAACCGATTCTCACGAAACTTTGCACACATCATTCTAGACTTAATTCAGTACGCTGTGTCAAATTTCGACCAAATCGAAAGACATATAGCCACTTTGTGCACCATTTACCTTAAATCGAGCGAAAATATATGGGAGCTATATCTAAATCTGAACCGAATTTTCCCAATTTCAATAAGGCTCGTCCTTGGGCCAAATAAATGAGCTGTGCCAAATTTCATCCAATTCGAATCAAAACTGCGACCTGTACTTTGTTTACAATTTAACATGGACAGGCGGACGGACGGACAGACAGACGGACAGACTGACATGCATAAATCGACTCAGAAAGTGATTCTATGCATATTCTCAAAAGGAACCATGGGTCTAACTCGATTATTTTTGCCTTTTACAAGCATATGCACAAAGACATAATACCCTGTACCACAGTGTGGTGAAGGGTATAAAAATCCATGTTAGCGCTAGTCCCTAAAAATATTCTTTAAAAAAATCCATGCTAACGCTAGTCCTTAAAAATCCACGCTTGTGTTAGTCCTTGAAAAATATTTTTTTATACCCTTCACCATAGTATGGAGGGTATATTAATTTTGCTTTTCCGTTTGTAACTCATCGAAAAAATCATTTCCGACCCATAAAGTATATATATATATATATATATATATATATATATTCTTGATATGTATATTCTTCTATGACGATATAGCCATGTCCGTCTGTCTGTTGTAATCACTCTAGCGTCTAAACGAATTGAGATAGATTGCCAAAATTTTGCATAGAGTCGTATTTTGTCTGCAGGCAGGTCAAGTCCGAATATGGGCTTTATCGGTCCACGTTTAGGCATAGCTCCCATATAAGGGTATCCCCCAATTTTCGGTATTTTGAGGTTCTTGAGCGCGTTTTTCAACTGAATTCGCTTAAATTTGGTATATTGAGTTCTTATTGGGTAGCAAATTTCTCCATTAAAAATTATAAATATGGGTCCATGTTTTCGGATAGCCCCGATATAAAGGTACCCCTAATTTTGCGGTATTTTGGGGGGTTTGATCGCATTTTTCGACCGAATTCGCTGAAATTCGGTACTTTGAGTTCTTATTGGGTAGCAAATTTCTATACTAAAAATTATAAATATAGGTCAATATTTTCGGGTAGCCCCCATATAAGGGTAACTCCCAATTTTCGGTATTTTAGAGTTCTTGAGCGCGGTTTTCAACCGAATTCGCTGAAATTTGGTACATTAGGTTCTTATTGGGTAGCAATTTTCCCCACTAAAAATTATAAATATAGGTCCCCTTTTTCTGGTACAAGGGTACCTCCCAATTTCCAGTTTTTGGGGGGTTTTGACCGGATTTTTTCCACCGAATTGGCTGTAATTTAGTATTTTGAATTCTTGTTGGGTAGCAAATCTCTCCACAAAATATTATAAATATAGCTTATTTTTTCGGGTAGCCACCATATAAGGGTACCCCCCATTTTCGATGTTTTTAGGTTCTTGAGCGCGTTTTTCAACCGAAATTTGCTATTTTGTAGTCGTATATGGCAACAAATCTCCCCACCAAAAATTATTAATATTCATAGTCCCCATAAAACCAATTTTTTATATTAAAATAGTTATCGGATTTGTTCCGTGTGTTGTGGTTGGGTAGTCGTTACGGGGAATAGTCAATTTTTACCCCACAAAGCTTATTTAGCCATATGTTGTAAGCATTCCGCCTTCTAAAGATATTGTGATAAAAAAACCAGTGAGCGGAGCCTGGGCAATATTTCGTGATATTGGCATCCTCTTGCCCGATTAGAGGTAAACATCACCTCTTCCTCATACTGACATATTTTCCGAATATTACGAGTATTCAGTACAGCTATTGTCCAGATTCCCTTCACCATGGGTTGTGTTGTGATGTTCGGCTTTCATTTGTGGTCTATATATCGACTCGAAAATAACAAAAAAAAAAATTAAGTTTTCGGTCCACTTCATTCCAAAATTTTTATCTGATCATCATCGAAAATTATAGGCGTTGTCCTTGACCATAACTGGAACCTTATGGAACATTTCAAAGCGATCAGCGCTATAGTTCCGCGCTCTATATACGGATACAGAGATACCTGTAAATATTTACGCATCCGAGCACATACAGCAATATAATTGGTATTAATTTAAAGGTCAACCACTCCTTTTAGATATAATATCAACTTCTCGGGTCTATGTCATTCAGGGGTAAATATATACGCTATATAATACAAATTTTGTCATTTTTCACACAAAAGTCAGGGTCCATTTGACCCGCTAAATATTGACAATCTTTATCAAAACAGGCATGCTTATTCTTTGGTCCGATCCCCTTCTCCATGGAAAATTTCACGATGTTCGGGCCATTATTGCGGCCTCTGGAGCGACCAGAAAAACCACAAAAATTTTGTATTTGGTCCATTTCATCCCCTAAATATTAACTAATCTTTCCCAAAAACAATAGGGGTCTTCATTGGCCAGAACCGGTCCTACATGCAACATTTCGTGAAGATTGGTCCATAACTATGGCCTGTATCGTATTTACAAATTATAACGGGCAAACGGACACATATGTCTAGATCGGCTCAGCTAGTCGAGATATGACGATCGGTATACTTAAAGGTGGGTCTAGGACCAATATTTCGCGGCGTTACAAACTTTTGGGGCTGTACAAAGTTATAATACTCTGACAACATTGTTGTGTAGGGTATAAAAACTCAAACATGACTATAATGAAATATATCGGCAGACATTTAGGCATCTTCTCAATATTGTAATACCTCCTGAAGGAAAGAATAGAGATAAGAAATTAAAATATTGGGTTCAAAATTGGCATATACCGGTCATTAATTAGGCATAGCCCTCATATAATGATATCCCCAAATATTCACTATCTCCTACAATATGTAATAAATATTGGTTTCCCTTTAGTCCACTTTTTGGATCTTACAGATTTTTGGGAAAAATCCCCATTAAAAATTGCTGAAGTTTGTATTTGGTGTACATATTGGGTTTACATAAATCGGTTTGTAGAATTATCGGTATATGCCCACTATTTGGTATGTTCCCTATATTTTCATTGCATGTATCTGTCAGTATAATTATGATGGAGGGTATCCAAAGTTCGGCCCGGTCGAACTTAACGCTTTTTCACTTGTTTAATCTAGGCATGTGTTAAAAAATCCACCATAGCCCATGTTAGTCCGTGGAAAATATTATTTTTAAAATCCACGCCTTTTATAGCCCTTGAAAAAATATATATTTTTTTAAATATCACCCTTGTGTTAGACCTAGGAAAAGATATTTTTTTAGGTCCTTGAAAAAATGTTCTTTAAAAAATTTACACTTGTTGTGGAACTTGAAAACAAATTAAGTTTTTGAAAAA